GTCTTTATTAGATTGTGAGTCATGTCGGTTTGCAAAACACCATCGTCTTAGTTCGAGTCCTAGAGTCCATAAACGTGCTAGTTTTCCTTTCGAATTAGTTCATTCTGATGTTTGGGGTCCTTGTCCTGTTTTGTCTAAACCTGGATTTCGATATTTTGTTACTTTTGTGGATGATTATTCCCGCCACTTGGTTATATTTAATGAAAAATCGTTCCGACTTGTTCTCTTTTTTGTGCGTTTTGTGCTGAGATTAAAACTCAGTTTAATGTTTCAATCCGTACTTTGCGAAGTGATAATGCCCCAGAGTATACGTCCACTTTATTTCGATCTTATATGGCACAGAATGGCATGCTTCATGAGACCTCTTGTGTTGATACTCCATCTCAAAATGGGGTGGCAGAACGTAAAAATAGACACCTTGAAACTGCACGAACCCTATTATTTCAAATGAATGTTCCTAAAACCTTTTGGGCCGATGCCGTTTCCACAGCATGTTTTCTAATTAATCGCATGCCATCCTCTGTTCTTCACGGTAAGATCCCTTACAAAATCCTTTTTGTCAATAAGACACTCTTTCCTGTTGAGCCTAAGATCTTTGGTAGCACTTGTTTTGTTCGGGATGTTCGTCCGCATGTCACTAAGTTAGATCCTCGGTCCTTGAAGTGTATCTTCCTTGGCTATTCTCGTCTTCAGAAAGGTTATCGATGTTATTGTCCCAGTCTTAACAAATATCTTGTGTCAATTGATGTTACCTTCATGGAAGCAACACCGTATTTTCCGTCTTCTCCTCCTCCCGCTCGCCAGGGGGAGGAGGATTATTTGCTCGTCTACTCTTTTACTTCCTCCGAACCTCTCTCCGAACCAGTTCCTGTCAGGCCCCTTATTATTCACGTCTACTCCAGGCATAAGGTTCCTGATTCATGTCCTGCACCTGCTCCTTCGTCATCAGATCCGGTTCTGAGCGATGATCTTCCCATCGCATTACGCAAAGGTATACGTAAATGTACTTATCCTATTTCTTCTTTTGTTTCTTATACCTGCTTGTCGTCTCCCTCACAGTCTTTTATTGCATCCCTTGATTCTATCTCTATTCCTAAAACTGTTCGTGAGGCCATCTCTCATCCAGGTTGGCATCGTGCAATGATCGAGGAAATGACTGCTTTGGATGAAAATGGTACTTGGGACTTGGTTAGTTTACCTGCAGGGAAACGGGCTATAGGTTGCAAGTGGGTGTTCACCGTAAAGGTCAATCCAGATGGGTCAGTTGCTCGATTGAAAGCCCGTCTTGTCGCTAAGGGATATGCTCAAACCTATGGGGTGGACTATTCTGATACTTTCTCTCCTGTTGCTAAATTGACATCTGTTCGGTTGTTTATTTCTTTGGCAGCTACTCATCATTGGCCTTTGCATCAACTTGATATCAAAAATGCTTTTCTTCATGGTGATCTTCTGGAGGAGGTGTATATGGAGCAACCTCCTGGTTTTGTTGCTCAGGGGGAGTCTGGGCATGTTTGTCGCCTTCGAAAGTCTCTGCATGGTTTGAAACAGAGTCCTCGTGCTTGGTTTGGAAAATTTAGTCAGGCTGTTGAACAATTTGGATTGATGAAAAGCAAGTCTGACCATTCTGTGTTCTACAAACAATCGAAAGCTGGTATCATTCTTTTAGTTGTGTATGTGGATGACATTGTCATTACTGGAAGCGATGCTATGGGAATCTCATCACTTAAGTCTTTCCTTCATACTCAGTTTCACACGAAAGACTTAGGGAGGCTAAAGTATTTCTTGGGGGTTGAAGTTATCAGGAGTAACAAAGGTATCTTTTTATCTCAGCGAAAATATGTCCTTGACTTATTAACTGAGACAGGAAAATTGGGGGCAAATCCATGTAGTGCTCCAATGAATCCTAACATGCACCTTACAGGTGATGGAGACCTAATTGAGGATCCTGAGAGATATAGAAGATTGGTTGGAAAGTTGAATTATCTTACAGTGACTCGTCCAGATATTGCATTTTCTGTCAGTGTTGTAAGTCAGTTTATGGCATCTCCAACAGTTCACAGCGTTAGAACAAATTTTATGCTATTTGAAAGGAGCACCCGGACGTGGTATTTTGTATGCAAATCATGGGCACACTCATATTGAATGTTTTGCAGATGCAGATTGGGCAGGTTCCAAATTAGATAGAAGATCCACATCAGGTTATTACGTCTTCGTTGGAGGAAATTTGGTATCGTGGAAGAGTAAGAAGCAGAACGTTGTGTCACGATCGAGTGCAGAGTCAGAATATAGGGCTATGGCACAGTCTGTGTGTGAAGTAATGTGGATATATCAGCTCCTGACTGAAATAGGCCTTAAGACTTCAGTTCCAGCAAAACTGTGGTGTGATAACCAAGCTGCCCTTCATATTGCATCCAATCCTGTATTTCATGAGCGTAGTAAACACATCGAAATTGACTGTCATTTTGTTCGGGAGAAAATTCAACAATGTATGATCTCTACAGGGTATGTGAAGATTGGAGAACAATTAGGGGATATTTTCACGAAAGCTCTGAATGGGGTTCGGGTTGATTATCTTTGTAACAAGTTGGGTATGATTAATATCTATGCTCCAACTTGAGGGGGAGTGTTATAGATATAATTAGTGTAATTAGAATAGGATACTAATTTATTTAGTTTCCTTAGATAGCTTCCCAACTCTTGTATATATACATGTATTCACGTTTCTAATAGTACATTATTTTTCCCATATCAAGTAACAATTCCGAGTCTGAGATTCGCCTCTAGGCTTATCCACCACCTGCTTATCTCTAGTTTGGGCCCTTATCAATGGTAATTCCTTAGAATCCAAAGTCGCTAAGCGTTAGGATCAAACCCCTCATTCTCTGCCCTTTCCTTATCCAACAACTCCCGCTGATTAGCATTTTACGGTACCCATACACTTGCCGTGACATCGGCATAGGTCATCCCTGATCGCCTCCTTTCTTCAGCTATTTGACGTTTAACCTTATCTCCGGCAACAAATGAGTCAACAACTGCCTGAAACACCAGTGAAACCGACACCCATCCGTCTCCATTGGCTCCTTTCGGCACCATCACAACTCTCTTTCGACGCCTCTCCCCATACTATGCTATCATCAAAAACCTACCATGACTGTTAGCATAACGCTGTGCCAAGAAAGCTTGAGAAGACTCATTAAAATTGGCGACGAAACCCCCCTTCTTATCAATCATCCTCAACTTGTCCACCATATTCACCATCCACATGGCACCAAATCGGCTCATGCAAATAGCGCCTGATATCTTCGATCCCCATTCTCATAGCTTAACAAAGCCTGTTTCTGTAATAGAGACTACGAATTCCTTTGCCTCAACTCTAAATCATGAACAAAAAACCTTTAAACCCCCTGTTTGAATCTGTCTCCCACGATTTTGCGCAAATGAGCCAGTAGATGATGAAGCCAATGTTCCGAACGGCCTCGTCGCAACGTGGTGGAAGTTGGCAAATTCCGGTGGCAGGGCGTATGCGGTACACGTGCCTGCAGATCGGCGCGTACTCCACGCGCCGCCCCTGCCAGAGTCAGAACAGCCTGCACAGCCCCCTGGCCAGGCGCGTGGCTGGAAAATGGTCGGAACTGGCGGGATCGGCACTTGGCTCGCGTGTGTCAAGTTGTGCATCTCCTTCCCTAGATCTAAAATTAGACCGTTACCACCGTGAATGGAGTCTCCATGGGCCTCCGCTGGATCACCGTCATGTGCGCCGTCAAGGAACCTCCGATTGTTCGCCTACGGGTAGCAGCACTAGGGTTTCCGGCATCTACTAGGTTTTCGGGATATAGGCTGAAAATTTGTGGTATGAGGCTAGAAAGGTTGGGTCGTCTGGGGTGGTGACATGGCCGATTGGGTTGGGTGGTGGCTAGTTGGGTTTGGATGTGGCGGGAGGAACCATCTCTCAAGTTCGCATAAAGTCCCTAGATTCTTAAAAGCAGTAATCAAGCAAGTCTTCTAGCTAGAAGGTGATAGTCAAAGTTCTAAAATACAAATACCTGCACAAGACTAATGAATGTTCATTTGTATTATAGCAACCAAAAATAAACTAATGGAGAAAAAGATTGAGAGTTATCCACAATGCATTTCTATATCATAAGAGATTTCCTTTTGATCCCTTTTTCATGTCATCTCAAAAAATTCTTGCATAGTTGTAGTGCCTTGGTTTCTTTTTGTATAAACTTGTAGGGTCTTTGGAAATATAGTAGGTAATTTGAGCCACTCAGTGTGGCAGTCACCACCAAAGCCTCCGACCATACAATATGTGTGTGTGTTAATACATGAATATTGGTATGAGAGCTTTTTGTCGGTAATCAACTTTAAATTCAACGATTAATGGGGCAATCAACGTCAAGGCAGGCAGTGGGTAGAATTGCAGGTCTGGGGTTGAAGAAGATGACAAAGGAAGAAGATGAGGGTATTTTGGGATTTCAAGAAACAAAGTATGAGGCCCTTTTCCCATAGCACCTTATCTTCAGGCCTTTCGATTTGAAATCCTCAAATAAATACATTGTATTTACAGCCCTGCATCATGCTGCTGATACAAATACAGAAAGCTAAAGCCCAATTTTTAACAGTAATGACATGCAAGATTACATAACAATAACATCAAAGAGAAAATGTCAGTATTAGATACTTACTCATCCTTACAGTATTGGATAGAATCAATATCTGAAGGTAGAGCTTCTCTTTCTCTAGTTAACGGTATCCTCCTATATGCCAAATTGCACCCTTCATTCTTAAGGGCAGCATATACCTCAGCAGGAGTTTTGACATCATCCACAAAAATATTCTCCCAATACCCTATGACGCTGGCCTTTTTCAGTGCGGGGTTATATTCTTCTCGGTGTAAAAGCATTCGACCACCAGATTGTCTAATCTCAGATATTATATCTTCTTTTAAACGTTCCTCCATGTGTTCCACCTGTGAAATAGAACGAGACAAAGGTATTTAAAATATCTCCCTGTTTGATGAGTAGATTTTACTAAGCACAACAGAATAAAATGAGTACATACCACCGGACCAGTGATTCCTATGTGTTTAAGTGTATCGACGGGCTTATTTAGTTCCCTAAGTACAAAAGGTGTATTGTTGATATAAACAACAGCTTCCTCCCGTAAATCAGTCAAAATTACTTTCTGAGGGGCATTTCCTTCTGGTTTGGGCTTGGCGCCTAGATACGCTAACATCTCTTTTGCTCCTGCTATTGTTGGTGTCGCCATGCTATACACTGGATATCCATCCACCTTAAAAATGCATAATCCATGTCAGATCTGTCATATGGTAAATGTTTAAGCAACAACGGCCACGCTCAACAACGTTAATTTATCCCGAGTACAAATTTAGCTTCAGACCTGTGTCATATAGTAAATGTTTGTCCACTTATAAGCAACAATGGTCCCACTAAACAGAGTTAACTCAATTACAAGTGCAGCTTCAGCTCAGACAGGATTGCAGTCAGCATATAAAAGAACAAGCTGGATGGCTTATTAGTTCATCAGGTAGTTAGCATATTGAAATATACTACAACCATTATCAATTTTTATAGTCCAGGATATTCAATCACTTATTTGCTTCCAATTATTGTTTCTTTCTGAGATAATTTCAAAATATTCTTTTATATTTAAAATTAACTAGTTCAAGCATGTTTTCCGTCCATAAATTTACTACAAGTCCTACTTACACCTTGTTAACCTAAGTTACAACTTTGCACGCACAACTCACTCGTACTATTTCTAAGGGACAAGTATACTAACTCTTATAGTTTTTCTATACCAATCATCTGTATGCCTAATAACAACAAATCATTTAATGCATTTTTCAATCAAATGATGAACTACTATAAATCAATTCATACAATGGATGAAGCTTTTGAAGTTTGTTAGAAGCTTGAAGAAACAATATTGTAGGGACAATACTTTGGTGGAAGGTTTTAGGTGAATAACTATATTATCTTCTTCAGCTTCTATTCTCTCATCATTGACTAAAGCCTTCCCTATATCTTAGGTTGAATTACCACACATGTTGCTGGATATCTACTGATGCCATATGCAATTAGAGAGACTTTAATGCTATCAAATTTTGGGTTCCCCGTTTATTTTGCAAGCATGTAATCATCTACGATTACCTTGTAGACGTGTGGTGCACCATGAATTTGTATATGGTTAGAAGTTCTTTGACCAGGAAAGAAGTACTTCTTAAGAATAGACCCTTTCCCCAAAACTGAACCACTGCGATCCTTTAAAATTGCTTCCATGACAGCATCCCCATGCTGAGATTCATGTGGAGCTCTTAACTCCTCCTGAATTCAGAAACATAACATATAATTAAATGGCAACGTAAAGAAAATGTTGCAACCTTGAAAAACTTCATTGGATGAGAGAGCTTTACAGGGACAGTGAAAAATCGCCCAGGCCTTAATCTGATAGACCATTTCATTGCTTGGACCTCTGGTCTTCGATGTAACCAACTCTTAAAAGTCATTCTTGATTCTCCTTGTCTGCAAAATCCATCAAAGGCTTCACTTCCCAGATATGCTGCAAAAGCAATTAAACGGAAATAGCGCTCTAAATACTCAGCACCGCGATTCAGCGCTACTCTCCTTTCTCTAGGCTCAACTTGCTGCTGATTAAATAGCTTTTTGTATTGCAAGACAGCTTGGCGTATATTCTGCAGTGCTGAACATCGATCAATTATAGCATCTAATGCTTCTCGGCATTCCACCCCCTTATCAAATAATCTAGTTATCTTCCATAGCAGCAAGATGTCATTTATCCCAAATTCACGACTTGAATCCTTTCCAGACCTACTTTTTGCCAAAACAGAATTTGACACCGAAAAATGATCTTCACTTTCATCGTCACTTGGCATACTGCAGCCCAACTCTTTATGTGATGTGCCATCAACTAATATTTTAACAGGCCTCCCATAATCTATCCGAAGTTTAAGAAGGCAAGCAATGACAGTACCTGTTGTTGTCCGTCCAATACCCATCTGTAAATATGAACACAGTAAGGGAGGGGAATAGTACAAGTAGCTATCACATGGACTCTGGAGAAAGTTCGATAAAATATGGGAAGGACAAGAAATATTGGATGATTGTGTCTAAATAAATCTTTCACCTGACAGTTAAAAACAAAAGCTGTGTCTTTGGAAGCAGATACAATGTTCATAGCCAAGGTGTCAAAATCAGAACTTTTTGGAGCTTTTCCATCAGTGATAGGAACACGTGCATACTTGATGGGGAGACCCTCAGCTTCAAAGCACCTAAATACCTCAAGTGGTGTCTGAACAGCGTCGGGGCTCACATGCTCCCAAGCATCAAAAATTTGTCCATCATCAGTTTCATGGATGACCATTATGGCACCTTGATAGCATTCAGCTTCCCGCAAAATATCATCTTTCAATCGAGCTTCCATTCTTTCTACCCTTTCACAATCAATTCCCTAGATGCAGAAATCTAAGTACATGAGTATCCTAATGTAAAACCAAAGACATAATCATGAGTACTTATTCTTCTGTACATATAAAATTCGATCCAACACAAACAATAAGTTCAAGAAAAAAAGTGTAACAGAATTGAAAAGCTTCTAAATTTTAACACCAGTCTGTCATCATCTTTGATATTGACATTTACTCCAACATATCAACTAGTGAGATTGCATTACTTCAAACAAAAATTTAAAAAATAAAATTTAATTGAGGATATCGGCATGAACAAATTGTAAATGCCGAGAATCTTGAAACACGTGACTTTCATTTGAAGTTTAAAAAAGGAGATGATAGACATCAAACAAATATCAAGGAACCAACGTGATTTAAGATTTAAAGGCTGCAAAGAGGCCACTTCAATACTGAATAATAAAATTCTTATATAAATGCACATTAGTAGCAGAAATACCCAGCAGGCTCACAATAATGTAATTGCAGTTTCTATATGTTTCAAATTGTTAAAAATCTTTCCTGACATAGGAGATAAACACAAAAACCCAAACAGAAAACCACAATTAGAAAGCTCGACTTAAAATGGCAGTTGAAAAAAGCCAAAGAAGCCATTTAATTAAAATGGAGAGCGTATAAAGATTCGGCTGTGTAGAGTAGAAGCAATGACTCCATAGTTTTGAGTATTTTGCTTAATTATTCAGACATAACATAGGTAACAGACTTATTCTCTACTTTAATAAAAATACAGTAAATGTATGAGAAATATCTTTATCTGATGCACATTTGACGTAAGATGCTAAAAAGCTCACACCCATAACCATGTCCTTAGTCCTATCTATAAGAAAGCATATCAAGATTCTCCAGAAACTTGTTATAGTGACAGATAATTTGAAAAAAATATAGTATCCACTTCAAAGTTCACAAGCAAACAGTAGTTTTCTAGGAGCAGCTAAAAAAAATTCACTATCATTTTGGAAATAAAAATCAGATAAGGATGTGATATGCTGTTAGGATTTATCTATCTTATTCTAGCTAAATACCTCTTATTATAAATACTCAATGTCCATTACATTTTTGTGTGTGGTTCATCATTATGTTACATTTCCATAACATCATTTCAAGATCCAAGAACACATCCAAACTTGAGATTAAACATTTAATTCTTGAGATAAATGAACCACAAGTTGGGAAAAATATTAAATTCATATAATCTAAAACACTCACTTCCTAGATATAATTTGGAATGTACTTTCTCAATGGCCTTCAGAGGTTGCTAAAAATCGAGGGAGGTTGGATCAGAAGCACAGAAAAAGTACAAGAACAATTAAATCAGAAGATAGAAAATTTTAAAAAATCGGGAGCAGGTTTGAGTGAAGCACGTTCCAACGGGTCTTGGAGATTGCAGGAATTAAATCAGCGAGTCTAGTGAGTTTTGATAAGCTAAATCATACAGTAAGTTCTTATTGTCTATAGTGGAAGTTACTGGCTTGGTCTTGGAGTTTTTTTACAGAGTTGAGGGTTTTCTCCGTCATCAATTCTTTGTATTGTCACATCATTGATTACAAGTCGGCAATTCAACATAGGGTAGTTAATTCACGTGAACTAGATCTAGATTAATTAATTATTGTGACTTCTTGCAACATTGATCAACGATATTTTTTAATTCAGCATTATTCACCCCCCTCTAAGTGATTTTAGGGTCAAACTAGTAACTTCCAAGTAGTATAAGAGCCCAAATTCGTTTCCTGACCCTAGTTTTCATGTTGAATAGTTCATTATCTATTCCGCCATATTTTGATGGCAGTAACTATGCTTATTGGAAAGTTAGAATGAAAGCCTTCTTGAAATCTATGAATGAGTGTATTTGGTTGAGTGTAGTAAATGGTTGGACCGCCCCATCTACCATAGTTGCAGGTGTAGTTACCCCTACTGATATTTCAACTTGGTCTAAGAAAAATTTAGATGAGTGTAATTGGAATAGTAAAGGGCTTCATGCTCTATTTATGGCTGTATCACATGAAGAATTTAGGCATGTATCTATGTGAAACGTTGCTAAAGAGGAATCACACATAAGGGAACTCATGCTACAGATGTTGACCACTAGGTTTGAAGAGATTAGGATGACTTCTATGCGATGTTGAATGACATAGTTAATTCTAACTTAAACCTAGGTGAAAAAATTCCTTAGCCTAAAGTTATCACAAGAGATTTAGACCTAAATTTACGGCTATCGAGGAGAGCAAGGATCTAGATGCTGTTAAAATTGAAGAATTGGTTGGATCTCTCCAACCTTATGAATTCACCATATCTCAACCTAAGAAGAACAAGTCTATAGCCTTGAACACTGTTAGGGAAGAAGAGTATGATTCTTCGGATTCGGAATCACTTAATGATGAGAAAATAGCATACTTTGTTAAGAATTTTCAAAAAATGTTTCGAGAGAGACACGCAGGTGATTCCAATAAGTCTAGAAAGAGATTTAAATATGTGAGATGTTATAAGTGTAAGATTTTGGCCACTAAAGAAGTGAGACCCTAATGGTAAGAGAAATCAGGGTAAAGCTATAAATGCAACTCTCACTAATAACGAGTCTAACTCGGTTAATCAAAGTGAGATGCCCACTCGTGAGAAGATTGGGAAGTTTATGGCCTTCACTGCTGAGATTAAAAGTGAATCTGATAAGGACGGTGAGAAGGTTGAGGAAGTAAATAGTGGTGAGCAATCTGAGAAAGATTCTGAAGACGAGGAAGAGATTCATGAGGTTTATCAAAAATTATTTGAAGAGAATCTTAAGATTAAGAAGGTGAATAAAGCACCAGAAGAGTTAGTGCGCTGACCATTGAGAATGATAAATTAGAAATTCATGTTAAGAACTTTTTGAGCGAACTTGAATATTCCAAATCTCAACTTTTTGTTTTTTCTAGTGGATCTCAGAAACTGGACAGTCTTTTGGGGTTGAACAAGCCCGCTAGGAACAAGAGAGGTCTAGCATATAAATAAACATTATCATAATAAAGCTAGCATTTCCAAAACCATTTTTATCTCTGCCACCAACCAGCCTATGTATGTTTCGAATCTTGAACTCAAGAACAAGGATATTGTAGGACGGAGGCCTACTAGACAGCGTAGGACCTACCAACCTCGGAATAGATATCAGCAACCACATAACTTTGGACCTAGGTTTATCCTTACTTGTTTCAATTGTGGTGAGTTAAGACATATAAGGACTAGATGTCTTAAATTCCTTAATAGAAATAGAAGTCAGAATTTCATTAGAGTTAGAAATCATTATTTTGATGGCCGAATTGACTTCCACACTAATCAAATGAGTCATTTGACCAAGTTAATGACAAAGTTGACTCGGAAGTCTTCCACTAGACAAGTTTGGTTAAACAGAGCGATATGAAAAATTTATAAAAATTGATCACGGTGCCCTGAAAGATAAGAGTGTTTGTATACCTAACTGATTAGGTATTTTTTATGCATGCTTATACTTGTTAATTGTGATTCATACATTATTGCATGCATCTCTTTTTTTTTTTTTTATAAAATCGTTTATATACCTAATTGATTAGGTGTTTTTATATGCATATACTTATTAATTGTGATTCATTTATTATTGCATGCATATCATTTTTTCTTTTGCTTTTTAGGTAGTTTGATTTTTAAAAAATAAATAAAGTTGAAATTTTGAAAAATAAAAAAGGGGATTTTTTTCACTACGGCATGATATATGATTTACTTGAACATGTGTGTTGTGACCAAGTATGAGTTTAATTGATATGTTGTAGTATATTTTTCATTACTTTGTTTAAATCTATGTGGAGTACTTAGTATAAGTTTCTTCTTGTACCACCTGCACTGCATACACTACGATCTTGTAAGTCTTGACTTCTTATGTGAAATTTGGGATAACCGTCATCTGTTCGTAAGATGACCTTGAACATGTATTGACCGTAATTTGGTAGACCTAATCTCTAGTATATCTCCTTAAATAAAATAAAAAAGTTTCATCTTATACTCTTTTTCGAAACCTATTTGACTCGAGCAATTAAGCCCGAGAGATTTCTCACAACCTGACTCGAGCAGGTTCTATTAGAACTTGCTCAGAGCTCATTCCCATGGAAGGTGTGGCAATGTAAATTGCCCCCTCAGGTGGCTTTTTTGTTGTGGACGGTTGTGAGGGGGCAAGCGTTAACGGTGGATAATCTTCGAAGAAGAGGTTTTTGTATTACCGAGTGGTGTTATACGTGTAAGAAGGATGGGGAGATAATTGATCACTTGTTCATTCATTGCGATGGTGTTCGGTGGCTTTGGAACACCATCCTAGCTTCCCAACAATTGGATTGGGTGATACCTAGACGATTTGAAGATGTGTTGCTGGCATGGAGGAGGAAACTTCGCGACAAGGAGAATAGGATTGTATGGAATCTTATTCCGGGATGCATTGTATGGTGCGTATGGAGGGAAAGGAACAGCCGCTGTTTTGAAGACAAGACAAGAACAAAAGAGCAGTTCAGAGAATTATTTTATCTAACCTTGTTTAGTTGGTTTAATACTGTAGCTCCTAATCATGTAGATGGGTTGCCTAATTTCATGTCGTTTATGTGTTGTCTAAATTGATAATACATTCCCCATGTATTATCGTTTGATGAATAAAATTTTCTGATTACTTACCAAAAAAAAAAATATCCTATGGTTAACTAACTTAGAGTTATCGACCCAAAACTCGTTACAGAGGTCATCTTAGTCGCTTAATGGAGAATAGTCTACACATAAGATGTGAAAAATTGAAAAGAAAATATGCATATGCTCAAAGTCAGGGGAAGAAAAGAATAATATATTGGTTTGACTTTTATTTGTAGGGAAATAAACTTATTTAACAGTGATATTTAGCATATTCTTTCTCACAAATTTAAGGTTTAGAGTCTTGATCACAAGAAATTAGTGGCACTTTACACACAAGTCACTTGAACTGAGTATGTGGGAAAGTTTATTGATCATTAATCATGCTTGTGCATGCTATCGACTGCATGTTTGAGTTATTATACTTTGTAGTTATAGTTCCATTTGTCATTTGTGACAAAAAGGGGAAGAGAAGATGATGGGCATTTTCTTTTATAATGTAACTACATTTTCGAGAGAGTGCAGTAAGGGGGAGATGTTCATTCAATATTTTGAATGCTTAGCTTTTTTGAATTTTGATATTTTGTAATATTAATGTTTCAGTCGGTGTTTTACTTAGCATTAGTATTACTTCTCAATCTAGCTAGCACATTTATGATAATCTGTTTCAATTATTATATTTCATGTTTCACGTACATTTACACTTGGTTTTTGAGTTGTTGATTTCAGGAAACAGGTTTTTCAAGGAATACAAGAGACATCTAAATTGAATTTGGGTAAATTAGTTTAGTTTTTACTTTCTTTACTTGTATTGTATAGTTTTGTCATAGAATGTCAAAGAGGGAGATTGTTAGGATTTATGTTGTATTGACAATTTTTTAGACAAATGGATTATTATAAAAGACTAGGAGTCTTTGGATTCGAGTATGAAACAAAGAAAAAGTCGGATTTACTCTAGCCTATCGCCTAGCTGATGTTCGAGCGGAAAAAGCAGAATCGTTGTCCCCCGCTTATCGCTGGAACAACAAACCTCTCGCTCACCTGTAGTTAGCCTGGCGCTCAAGCAACGATGTATACGTGAAACCCTAATTCACGATTTTCAAAAGTTCTATCTATCCTAAATACCTCTTATTATAAATATCAAATGCCCATTATGTTTTTGTGTGTGGTTGATCATTACATTACATCTTCATAACATCATTCCAAGATCCAAGAACACATCCAAACATTGGGATTAAACGTTTGATCTTGATATCAATCAACCACAAGTTGGAAAAAAAATCAAATTCATATAATCCAAAACACTTACTTCCTAAATATAATCAAGAAGGTACTTTTTCAATAGCCTTCAAAGGTTGATGAAGATTAAGGGAGGTTGAACCAAAAGCACGGGAAGAGTGCAAGAACAAAGTGATCTGACGATCCACAAGAAATAGACAATTCCAGAAGATCGGGAGCAGGTATGAATGAAACACGTTACAGCAGGTCTTGAAAATTGCAGGAATTAAATAAGCGAGTTTAGTGGGTTTTTCTAGGTTGGATCATACTGTAAGTTCTGTGTATTGTTACGACATTGATTTCATCCAAGCTGGCAATTCAACATAGGGTAATTAATTCACGTGAACTAAATCTAGATTAATTAATTATTGTGGCTTGTTGCAATATTGATTAACAATAATTTTTAATTCCAAACTATTCACCTACTCACCCCTCTCTAGGTAATTTTAGGGTCGAACTAATAACTTTCATATGCTAAGGTAAAACTGTTGTAGTGCCAAGAAATGAGGCAATTTTAAACAAATAAGAGATACAAATCCCAGTTCCAAGTGTCACAATGTTATCTATTCATACACTAGAAGTTCAATTATCACGCAGTAGCTCAAGCTTAATCCCCTAGCTTCAAGCAATGGATGACTGGGCACATCCTCTTGAAGCATGTTTAGCAAAAAGTAAAAAGAACATAAAAAATCATGTATTCAAATAATCAGTGGTTGCATATCTACCAGAATAATAATTAAGTTCTACAGGTTCATTAGTTTAGATGTCACCAAACGAGACATTATACCGTATACTCCAGCATATTTTTGTATGGCCTTTCAACTTCACGAAGTACAAATGGTTTTCCATTGATGTAAATAACAGGTTCTTCTCTCATGTTGTGCCAGAATACAGGACGGCCACCTTTTGAACTTCCAATCCTCTGAATTACAGATCGAATACCATCCACAGTTGGATTTGCAACCCCATAGACCGGAAATCCCGGAATCTCTCTAAAATTAGGGGCACCCTCCAATCTCTCCGGTAAACTAGGATGTTGACAACCAGGACAGTGGTCACTTTTTAGAACAGTTTGGCTTCCAAGAACCTCTCCATTCCTTAGGGCAGCAACTTGACTCATCTCAAAAGGGCGGACATCAGCAGATTCAGCGATTTTTGCTAGAGAAGGTTTTAGATTTGCATAACCAAGCGCTCCCATCGGGTCTCTCCTCAGCAATCTGCACAACATTGTATGGTTTGTCACCAACGTGTTTTGACATATAGGTAACATGATACCAAATTTTGACATGTGATCCCACCGCCGCATGTTATATTGACTATGAGATAGAGAAATGAAAATAGGATTCCAAACACATGTAGACGCAAAAATTGGGCCTCAGTGGCGTAAATGGAATCCTATTAAGACTCGAGATTTTATCTTGGAAAAGTCAATATTGTTAACAGGAGCAACCCCATGTCATTATATGTTGGCTATTATTTTCATACTTAGTCAATGTGAGATTCTACCCTTAACAAGGAAAAATCTGGAGGAAAACGCTTTGAATCTGTAAGCACAAGGACAAATCCTGATAATATGTTTTTAAATCTCAATTTCTGCCTGTTTTCGAGTTTACACAAACTTTCGACCTAAATAACAACTTTAGACTTCAAAAAGAACGCTCACAATTATTAGACATTAAATAACTCCATATTAATTTTACGGTTATGATACATGTACATAATGGTTTACATACACATAATGTGGTGAGATATGATTGGGTCAGAATTTCTTCAATAAAATTTAAAAAAACATAAAAGCATAACTTCCTGCTCTCTTTTTGACACTTTATCTGTATATAAAAAATTATGTAATTCTTTATGTACAAGTAGCATTATTCTTAATTTGAACTAGAAATACAAACAGCCTCCTTTTGACTCTGTTCACAATTACTAAGATTATTTGTACTGTGTAACACCATTTTGATGCAATGTTAGCAAGAAATGTTCAGTCCATACTAAATAGATGTTATTTAATCTGCATATACATGCACATGAAGGAAATTAAGGTGGTACAACCACCTGAGAATGACCTCATATTTACATAACAGAAAAAATTGTAATCACCTCATATTTACATAACAGAAAAAATTGTTTCAGCCCCTTGAAACATTTCATAGCACAGAACTTCATATTTACCTCCGCAATATGCTATAGAGCTCCGGTCTGGCTTTCATCCAGTCAGTAAAACTGCATTGACCAGGGAACACAGGCTGATGTGCTTCTCTTTCCGTATGAAGATATACAGCAAAACAAATAAGGTAGTAATATCTCTCTAGGTACTCCACAAAAAAGGAAAGGGATGCTTCCTTCTTCATTTCATCAGTTTGGTGCAATATACTACTTCGATAAGTAGCAATAGCTTCACGCAAGTTCTGTAATAGGTCAATAAATACAAAATTCAAAGTGGTTACATATGATTGATTATATAGGAAACAAATTAATTCAGTACCACGACGCAATAAATTAATTTGTGTGCGTGTGCGTGCGTGAGAGAGAGAGAGAGAGGCCAAGATGAAATATAATTTAGCTTGAGGAACACAGAAGTTTTCAGAGATTAATACCTGCATAGAGGCACATTTGTCAATTACTTCGTCAACCTGTCTTTTGCCTTCAACGCCACCCTTAAGGCACAACACTACTCAATATAAATTCAAACAAAATATAATATCGTTATCAAATTAGGAAAGTTGCAAGGAAGCCATTTTGGGTACCTCCAGAACCCGAATCAGGCTTCTAATGACTGGATATTCTCCTCTATGGATTGTCTCCTCCGAGTTTGGTAAGTTGTCAGTGACACTAGAACCAAAATCAGCAATTTTTCCCATAGAATTGGTTCTTGGAATACCTATTATATGAATGTTCGCATACGTTGCTTACGAAATTAGATGACAGAAAGGAAAGAGATATACATTCATGAGGACAAGGAATGCTCTTGCACTGTAAGAAGAACCAAGTTCAAAAACAAAATCAAGAAAACATGACATTCATCCAACCAAAAAAATCTGATGATAAAGGGAAATCTTTGAACTCCTCAGATCTATCCATGAAGTAAAAAATTTCTTGCTCACATAAATTGCCCAGCAGTTTTCTTTTTCTTCAAAAGTTTGGCAGTTCCTTTCTTCCAAATTACCCAAAAAATATCCAAAAAGTCAGATAGGTATGTTGTACCTTTAAAGAAAAGCATTCAAATACTTCTTCTCTTATGCACTATAAAAATATAGCTACATCACAATGTATATATTTTTTGCTTTCCTCCTTCACGTCACATACCAATGGGAATGAGATAAATGAGGACTAAACTTATACTGCTTTATTAGTCTTTCCAAATATATATGTCCAGTAGTTAATCCCCGGACACAATTTAAGCTGAATCTCTACAAGCTTCAAGCCATTATCACTCCCTACAATATTTCATTGATTTATAAGCTGATTGCCTCAATAATATGCATTCTTCCAAATATCCCTCTTATTTTTATAAATAAGGACTAGCATACTCTTTCCTTAGACCAAAAAAAAACTTATCACTTGTCTAGGACCTACAATCTTATTTCTAATTCAAATTCCAACAGTGTTCATGAGCTAATTAATAGAATTTAAATCAAAAAAGTAGGTTAATACACAACTTACTACTTTCCAATTGAATTAATCACTATATTGTAGGGACCCAGTTGAGGAAGAAAAAGATTTAGACTGCTACATAATATCAAGTAATTGAATTGATGCAGAAAAGCATCCAAAATCGGTCAAAACATTAATTTCTCTTCCACGCTAGGCCAAATACGGCTTATGCATTGATATGGTTTGATTGTATCTACAAGATCCTGGTATTTCTTACATCTTATCACATAATGAGATGAGTAAAATCAATTCTTTAAACAGTCATATTACATCCAAACCCAGCCTGTAAGGCTAGAAGTTTATATTATAACTCTAATTCTGTCTATGCTAGCCTTGTAAGTTGATTCTCAATTTAAGCATGTACATCATTTTGTCACCCTTAGAGGTTGGCAACTGTTCATCATTCGTTTTGGGAAGAGCCATGGCAGGTGATGATTCTATATCCATTACTTTTGATCATAGGGTTCAAAATCTTGATAGCTATAGTATGTGGTCATGCAAGTCTTTATATTCTAATCATAAAGAATTAGTTTTGCAAAATGATAAGAACTGCATAAACTGGAGTATAATGTAACACCTACATTATTATACCAGAAATTTGAAGGAAACAAAAACTTCCACAAGTAGAATAGGCAGAGTACAGAAGTGAATTCTTGAAGAAGGTTTAATTTTGTAATGTTTGTAGAACAGATTTTAAGTATATCAAAAAGGTACTTCAGCTGAGCAAGTGTAGAATCATAAACAAATAGAATGCACACTATAGAATACGTGGAAGCACATATCTACACTCAAAATCACTTAAGAAAGAAAAATGACTACCTGAAGCTCCTATTCGAGTGATATAAATTAAAGTAGCAATCACCATCCCAGTAGTTGTTCGTCCACGACCCATTTGGCAATTAAAAACTATCTCAGTCCTTATATGAGCTTGAGAAATTTTATGAACCTAGAAAGCAAAAGATATGAAAGAGCAGTGAAACATCTCCAAATGAGTTATGGGCATATTTTCACAGCTACATTTGCAAAGACAATCATAAAATGCACTCTGCAAGTGAATACATACATCTTAGGTATATGAACGTTTGATCAAAATTCATTATCATTATTCTCAGTATATGTCGGACTACAGGCATGCAATGCAAGGCCAATCCTGAGGCACAAAAACCTTATCATCATTGAGATTGGTAAAATTTAACAACAAATGAATTTACTTAAACTTCAGCATCCCAGTTATATCCGGCATTATGTATTTGTAAAAGGTTTAGATACCAAGTCAAGCTCCATGTAATCTTCTTTTGAACTGAAGTAGCTGAATTGTAAGTAAATACCTTTTGTGCACCCGCACTTGTGCGCGCATATGTATGAGTATATATATCTGTCCAGTTTGAGTTTGTATACATAAAGAAAAATATCTTTAAATTTTTCAGGGTAAATCTGATAATAGGTACATCAAGAAATAAAGAACTAGAGCGGGGATTCTTATAAATACAGAATTGAGCACATTGAAATATACAAGCTAACTGAAGGAAACGGTTGACACCGCATATTACTGATGAAGAATGAAACTTGGAGACTCACCAGAACATCGAAATCCTGCTCTTTAGGTGATTTTTCATCCGTTACAGGAACACGCTCGTAGTCGACAATGTACTTCCATGTCAGTTCCTCGTACACCTAGCTTGGAGAAGAACATCCAAACAAGTATAAGCAAACAGCTGAGGTTCCTCCATATCTGATTTGCAAGTATGCATACCTCTAGTGGTGTTTTAATGGAATTATGCGTAACTGGTTCCCATTGATCAACCATTTGACCATCTGGAAGTTCATCAGTTACAAGGATCTTATTTCCGTATCTGTTGATTCACATGTTAATTGAAACTGAAGTCAAGAAGGTACAGGTACCGACAACACGGACAACAAAACATGTAATAATGATACTTCAATATAAAAGAAAAAGTAAAGGGGTTTAAGATACCTAGCAGCTTCCATGAGGACATCCTCTTTCAATCGATCTTCCATTTGCTCAACCCTGACCCTGTTAATACCCTACTTTTATATGAAAAATAAATATCGATGAAGACGGATTATAAAACTCTTAATAAAACTTTAAATGGAATAACATATAAACATGAATACATGATAATGAGTCGTATGCTTCAACGGCATAACTTGTTCTGGAAGAATGAATCTCCTAGCCTTTCCAATATGACAATCATGGGGAGTTGGTGAAAGGAAGTCCTAGCTAAACCAGAACCTCCAATTTAATGGAATTTCAATTTTACTCTTAGGTTAGGCAAACAAAACAAAACCAGAAGAGTAAAGCAACAAAGATCCTAACTGATCCCTTTCCATATTTCCTCAATGTTAAATAAAACAGAATTTGCACCAAGCCAGCAAATAAACATTAAAAAAGTCCTACCATGGTCACCTCTACAAAAGCTAACTCCTATTCTCCTTTTAGAAGTAAAAAGGGGGAAAAAGCAGAAAAAATAAGCCTGAACAATTGTGTATTGCTTGTAAACCAGTAGGATGTACACTGCACAACCTAATCCCAAAATTATATGCAGCCAGCACCACCCACTGAGAAAAGAAAGAAAATTGTCGAAGCAGCTTGTATAAACTGCTTACTTTTTGTTGAATTCCCATAAATCCCATGCTTGTTGCCAATCTTTCGAGACGTCCCAAGGAAGGATGGCACCCGTTGCATATTTTGGTGACTACTTGCAATTTTATGAGGCACTCAAAGTCAGTAATGTGTCTTTCACGTTACGTAATGAACCTAACAAAGTTTTATGGCACTTCATAGACTAGAAATGCAAAACCCTCCTCTTTCCAAACTTTGAACAACCATGCAACAAAAGGAAGACAAAGTGCAGAACAAGGAGCAAATACTCAATAACCAAAAATCAAAAGGTAAATAATTAATTCATACGGTTCAACCTAAGGAAGAAATAGTGAGAGCAATCTCCATCAAACATGTGATGCTTTGTACAAAGTAGAACAAATAAACTGAAAATGATTAATACAAATGAATCAAAATCATAAGGTGAGATTTGTGTAGCATTACATACCGTATATTCCAGATTCGAGAAAGGTTGCTCCACATCACGCAGAACAAAAGGTCGGCCGTTAATATATATTACCTGTGACATATATACAAAAATAATAGAAACATAAATTATGTGATCAACAAAGTAAGAAGCCATAATCTAGTTATAATAATGCACCTCACTCTCATGCTTGAAAGTAAGCCCTTTATCCAATTAGAACTTTCAGTGCTCTGTAAGTATGTCCATTACTGCTTCAAATGTCGAAACTAAATTGAGGCAAATAACTCAACTATATCCCTAGTTTTTCCACATTGACTTTATTCATTTAAGAAACAAAATTTTAGTAATCACAATATTAAGATACATACATAAAAAGAACAAATAGTCCTTAAAATACAAGGAAAACAAAGTTTAAAAATTAAGCCCCCGTTTGATCTACATTATTATCTCATTAAAATGAAAAATATGACCGTTATTCATCGCATTAACATTTAAATTCAAATTTTCTATCTCTTGTATGGGCCTCAATAACGGCTATATTTTTCATTCTCATTCTATAATAATTTGGCTCAAACAGGGCCTAAATCAAGAATGCATCAAATTCTTCCAATCAAGAATAACTAAAGGTAAACAGAAAATCTTAAACTACTTTGATGTGAAGCACAGAAATAAGCCAAAATATTGCCCTTTCTTAAATCAGCAAGCAGTTGTTCTTTTCCTCCGAAAATTTTGAAGTTCCTATTCGTCCAAACTACACAAAAAATAGGCAAAACCACAGTTGTCAACATAACATCACCCAACTTTCCTAAGCCAAAACCACTAGATATTTTAATAAATACCTCAATACACCTTTCACGGAAACCCATGCAAACTGAGCATCTCCTAACAAGACACACCACAAAATCTAGCAACATCATAATGTAAGAAAACGTGATCAACATTTTCAGTTGTCCTCCAACACATTAAATTCCAAGATGGAGAAAGAGATACATGAGGACATCTCCTAGGACATAATTCATAAGAATTAATCTTCCTATGAGAAACCAGTCGAGCAGACAACTTAATCGGTAAGGGATGCCCAAAAATCATATCTAGAAAAATTAGTGATTTTCCCTGTTCATGTGTTGACTTGTTTGTACAAAATCATTGTAAAGGTTTTAGCAAATAGCTTGAAAAACAGCATTGGAAGACATGATTTATATTAACCAGGGGGATTTAGGGAAAGGGAGACAATTTGGATGTGGCATTAGTTTCTAACGAGTTGTTAGAAATATTCAGGTCTTTCTCTAGGTAGTAAAAAATTGCCGAAAAGGTATGATCCCCGGTGATTGAAAGGGTTGCTAAAAGACAGGATGCATGGAAGAAATCAATTCCTTTGAACAGAGAGAGGTGAACCCTTATTTAATCAGGTATGTTCAATAGTTCCATTTAGTTCATGTCACCATGTAAAATGTTATGTAAGGTAGTTGTCACTTCTAGAAAAAACTCTTGATGGATTTTATGTGAAGTAAAAAAAAAAAAAATTAGGTAACATGGATATGGTCATCAAAAGCAAAAGTAGAAGCAGTTCAGGAGAGTAAAACCTTAGAACGCTCTTCCTTGTGAGGTAGGTTTGTCAGGAGCAAATGTGCTCTAGACCCAAATGGTTGGAATTTTGCAAGTGGTTTCTTTAGAAACCATTGAAAATTATAGATCAAAAGTCTTCTTTTTACACTCAGTTAAGAAAATGACTAGTAAAAAGTTAGAAGTATCATGACTTGAACCAATTTTAAAAAGTCACCTATTCAGGGGCCACTACTTTTGATGTAGGGCAATCCTAACTACTTTTGATGTAGGACAGTCCTATTGTAAATATGATAAAAGTAAGATATTTATAATAAAATGTCTAGTTATAATAAGTTTTATCTTTTTATTCTAATATCTTATTTAGAATATGATTTCTTTTCTTTATTAATTGGAATGGGATTTCTAATTTCCTTAAATTAGTCTTCTTACACTAGTAAGATTAGGGAATAATCTTGACTATACATACAAAGGATTTGTACAATTTTTCATTAATCAATTCAATACAATAAAATCATTCCCTACATAGTTTCTAACTTTTTACTTTATTCTTGTTTCAAAATTCCAATTCCGCTTCCGCACCAACTTTTGTTGCCATTATTGTCAATACTATAGCATAACTTACTTATATCAGTACCATACCCCTACCCACCAGCTGTATATTTTCCAACAGACACTGCACCTTTAGTCTAAGAGTCATCAGAGTGCAAAAAAGAAAGCAATAAGCCAATTTAAAAGGAATAAGCAGTAGGTTTATTTATGAATGAACTTGTGAGAGCGAGACAAGAGAAGTGAAATCATTTTACAGAAAAACTACAAAATAGCAGTGGATATAGATCCAATAGCATGCTATAACATCTTGAAGATATTTCAAAATAAGCATTCTATGCATTGCATGTTGCCGAATTTGTTCTCTAAAACCTTTTTTCACTGCCATTATCTCCTTCCAAACTCAAAAATTGCAACTCACTCCAAGAGAGTCGTATTCATGGAAAGGCATAGCTGAATGTGATTATTACCGGTTCCTCACGGAGATTAATCCAAAGTACGTGAATTTGATCCCCATTCATTTGAGCCCCAATGTGGTTGAGGACATTCCGAATGCCATCAATAGTTGGGATAGCAACACCATGTACAGGTAACAAGTTAGCCTATTGCAAGGAGAGAAGGAAAGAAAGACAGAAAATTAAGTTAAATCAGTAATATGTTTGAAATCTCCACACATCATCACCTTATTATCAGGCATTTTTAATTCCGATAATTTCTAGACTCAAGTAAATTATTATTCATATAACAACAGATGAACAACAACTGGGTAAGAACTAAAAATCAAGCATTAGTAAAGAATGTCAATATGACCGACAAATTTGCTTTTACGAGTAAGAATCATCAGGCAATGATACTGTGTACCTGCTTTCATAAAATTGATTTAAGAAATACTCATAACCATTTGAGCCAACAAAATTAGTGGGTTATCCTTTAGCCAGAGAGCTCATTTCAAATAGCTTTTCTTGGATTAACCACAGTATGCTCAAAGGATCTGAATTTGCCCACGTAATGTTAAGGTGAGGAAAATGCGATATGTCAGGATTTCCAATGGGATTTATGGGAATCTGAATGCCACATCGAAAGTATGGGCTTCCTATGTGTGGTTTATATAGGCTTGGGTTCTCCAACCTTATTAGCTAGCTTTTGTGGTCTAAATCTTCCAAATTCTATGACATTGGTATCAGAGAAGGCATCATGTCTTCGGGTCTTGATTACCACTTAGGGTGTATGGGCACGCTCGACGTGGACGCCGAGTCAGAAGCGTGGTGGTTTGTCATGATTTCAAATGTGATTTATGGGAATCTGAATCCAACACCGAAAGTATGAGCTTCCTTTGTGTGGTTTATATGGGCTTGGGTTCTCTAACCATATTAGCTAGCTTTTGTGGTCTGGCTCTTCCAAATTCTATGGCACGATAGGAAACACCCGTACTGGTAAATGCATGCAAGTTTTAGTTAATCTTTGGTGCGGTCAAGTTCTATACCTGTACCTAGAAAACCAATGTGTAACAGTCATGGTAAGTAAGAGATGCGAATTAGTAAGAAACTGCTAGCCACTAATCCAAGGAAGAAAAGGGAACCCCAATTTCGTAATGACATAAAAATAAAACGAGTAACGGAGATATATTACTATAACAACATTTAATGATTGAAAGGTAAAGATGGTGATGCAGAAAAACCTTGCGGTAATTGGGGGCACCATCAATCTGGGGAAACAAGCGTTTGTTCTGGCAGCCAGGAAAATGGTCGCTCTTGAGAATTGTCCTCTTCCCCAGCACGGATCCATCTCTCTGTTTCATCACCAGTTCCGGCTCCTTTGGTATGGACATGCTTTATCATTGACTCCGCTTCCGCTTTCTACAAATCAATTTCTTTTTCCCCTATACTAACAACGCATCTCCAATCTTGATTGATTGATTGAATAGGGCTTCCTTCTGTCTTCCACTATAGTTGCATAAACCTGGTGGTGGTTGTGGACAAGGATTGAATCGTCGAATGTGTAGAAACAGATAAAAGGGATAATTGAAAGGGAAAAGGTTTCAAGAGGAATTTAACTGGAAACCACTTATTTGGCGTTCAGGCGGACCTACGGTAGAAATAATGTTTTTCACGAGTTTATTCTCTCATTTTAAAAAAACTGGGCAAGTTTCTAGAAAACATTAAAAACACGTTTGTTTGTCTATTTTCTGAAACGAATTTAAAATTTATAAAAAAAATTGAAAAACATCAGAAAAGTCATTTTGACTATTTTCAATTAAAATCAAGTCAAAACTTCATTTTTTATTTTTGAAAGAAATTTTTCAAAATAACAAAAAGAACACATTTTCAGTAATCTCAAAATGCACATTCAAAATACAAAACTCAAAATGAATTTAAAACTCAAAACTAAAAACTAAAACGTTAAGAAAACAACCCCTAAACTTCTGAAGTTGGACGGTCCATATTTCTCAATCTACACAAGTGCTCAAATCTGATGTGAAAAGTCAAGCAGTCCATACTCCTGATAGTGGCACTATTTCCAACCCTCTGAAACTAAAGAGTCTGCAACTTGATTTCCCTCACTAGTAGCCACCAAATAGGAGCATAGTTAGGGTTTTACTCATTATAGTACTCTACATATCAATGATAAAAATAATAAAATACCCATTGAATTGTCTAGGTACTTCAATGCAAACGTTTATAGCATTTTAAATCAAGGTGAACTTCTAAACTTTGGTCTTCTATCGGCAGAAATGTAACGATCAACAATATTCAATATTATCATTTGTTGGCATCCGACCTCCGAGGTCGATAAGTGTTGTTTGGTGTATACAATATGCATGAGCTAATGTGAGTTCGAAATATAAGGTCAGCTCGGATTATGTAGTCTATCGAGGCCGAAGGGAACATAATGATTGAAAATTTCTTACACATTGTACTAACAGTCAATTAGTAAGTGGCATATGGACGATCTTACATCAGCGTCCGCCAAGTCTACCAATCATGTGCTTTAGCTTCCTTCCCTGAGTAATTCATTAATTGTCGATCAGTCAAAGTTGGCTCGAGTCACTGTGGAGTCCTCTTTGTCAAATCTGTGGGCTGATTTTGGAGTCCTCAAAGTTTACGGGTTGCAAAGGTTTTCGGCAGTTTTCTGGACAATGTATCATCTAAGCGCCGGAGAATGGTGGTCGTTGGATGCTGATTTTGGGTTTGAGGTAGGGAAATGGGTGGTGGGCGGGCATGGTGTTTAGGAGAAGAAGAGGATTGTGTTTTTTTCTTTTTCTTTTTTTTTTTAATTTCTTATTTCTTATTTTTTATAATTTAATTATTTAATGTGATAAATATAAAGTTATCATTTTACCCATTTTTAAAATATTAAAAATGTTGTCAAAGTTAAGTTTTTTATCAACTGACGGAATTGTGGATGGAAACTATCCAGAAGGGTTTTACCTGCGACGTTTGGAAAGGTTAGGGAGACGGTTGCAACAAATCAAAAGTTTTGAGGAAAGTTTGCTAATATTTCAAATGTTTGAGACTTTTGCTGCCATTATCCCTAAAAAATTGCTTATAAAGTAAAAATACTACTCTAATAAGACAAAAATTTACTTATAAAAACAAAAAGTTACATATAAGTAAAAAAATTCAAAGTTAAATATTTTTAAAATATTAAAAATGTGATCAAAGTTAAATTTTTGGTCAACTGACTGAATTGTAAATGGAAACTGTCCAGAACAGCTTTACTTGCAACGTTTGGAAAAGTTAAGGGTGACGACTGCAACAAATCAAAGGTTTGGAGAAAACCTACTAATGTTTCAAAGATTTCAGACTTTTGATACAATTATCTCCAAAAAAGTTGCTTATAAAGTAAAAATACTACTAACAAGACATATTTTTCAATAAAATAATAATACACGCAATCCAAAATAATTTCCTTCATTTTTAACTACGTATTTTTCATCAATCTACTATTTCAAAATGCATTCTCTACAGAAAAAAAAATCGGGCTCTAACCAAAGAGCGGAGTGACAGCAAATCACGGTATTTTAGCCCACACAGCACCTCTACAGGTTCGACAAAGGGCCTGACTTTTGGATTCGCCATGAATCGCTGCAACCCCGGACGGATAATATAGTCAGTAGAGCACTTTCTGATGCAGAGGTTCACCATGAAAGTCCATCTACAGAGCATACTTATGTTTCTACTCAAATCTTACTCCATATCACTCAAATCTATAATTACTATATGCCTTCGGAAACTAAGTAGGAACTTGAAGGTTTTAGAAGAATATGATATATAAAGCACACTGAACATTATTTGATAACATCGAATGACTTACAAAGAGGTAGAGCTCTCCATACAGAGAAGAAAAACATCTAAAAGTACACACAAGACTCGTGCGTTTTCCTACATAATGAACTCGTGTCATTATTTCACAGATACAATACAAATTTTCTGACTCACATTGTCACATAGTATAGTGATATAACTAAAGCAACAAATTATTATACAAACGGACGAACACACTTTAATAAAGTAGATCTTGCTTTAATAAAGTAAAAACAGTGCATTCGTTGTCTTGTCATTGTGTGTCGAGATTCATAGGGTTTTCTGGACGTGAGGGTAGACCATGTTGATTTAACCAGGATATATTGACGTCTTGAGTTTCACTTGACCATGGATCCCGTGAGTCTTAGAAAATATTGTCATCATAATTAATCTGAGGATTTGTTCATTTATTTGGCTTGATAATAGGTTTTGTGATTTTTTCTTGCTTGATTATGCTTTTTCTTTTCCATTTTCCTTTTGTGTTGGATTTTACCAGGGGTCTACATGTAGTTGATTTACAATTTTTTCTATTTCTTTTTCAAGAAATGCTTTTTCATTTTTTACGCTATGGTCCAAACTGTCAACAAGTTTTTCTGCAATTTCCATTTGTTTTTTCCTAAGCTAGCGTCCTTCTGGAGTCTTTTCTCAAAACTTTGATGTTTCACCAAAACTTTGTGTGGGCCTTTCTTAATACAGTTGTCCAAATTGATAATCAAATGCATGGTCATATTCTGGATCTCCCACAGTGCGAAATCTTTGAAGATGTGTTTCTTGATAAACTTGAATGTCATGTTGGATCTTTTGAGTGTATTTCACTGGTAAAGTTTCCCATTGTGCGTCATCTTCATAATTTGGCCAAATTTGTGGAAGAATTGTTTGATTAATTTATATCATTTGCCTTTGGAATTCTCTAAATTCTTTTGGATAGTGCTCCCAATTTTGATGCATGTTGAATGGTTGAACTGCATACTCCTTAACATGAGAAATATGATCATATGTTCATGTTTCACTGAAATAACCTCGTCTTTAAAACATTAAAGTCACATAAACATTCTTTTTAGAAGTTCTGATGTTTTTAAATTTTAAAGAAAATACTTGAAATATTTTTATCTAGTGCGAGATTGGATAAAACCATTCAAAACACTTTTTAGCAAAATGATCAACTGTTGTGCTCAAAAAATTCAGATTCATTTGGCAGAATAAATCAAGTGCCTCAGCGACATAAAAAAATTCCAATTTGCCAAAGTTTTAAAATGTACCAAATAAAACAAAGAGTTTATTTTGAAAACCTTAGTGCTACGTGCCTTGGATCAAAACGGAAAAGTGTGAAAAAATGATAGTTTGGATGGAATCCAAGATCACCAAGTGTGTCAATTCCAATCTTTCTTATCACAATTCCAGTCAAGCCATTTGTTGAACCTGCTGAGGTGTTGTGTGGTATTTTTAAAATGGTAATTATATTACTACCACAAAATGTTATATCCACAAAACAACTAAAACATAGTTTTAATAAGTACACCACAACAAATTTACAATTATATACCTAATCTAATAAAAATAATAAAAAAAGGAGAAAACATCTTTTTAATAAATACACCACAACTAAACTTCTTATTTTTCTTTTCTTTAGATTGCGGCCATGATTCCAAACAAATGATTTGTGGTTCAACTGCCAGCCATTATGAAGCAAATTCAGTGAGAAGCAAAATCGATTCAATGCAAAAATCGAAAGTGATTGTGGCTTCAACCACTTTTTTCCTCTTAGTAAATTACATGATAGAAATGGTGGTTATGTTGTCAAAGAGCTTGCTGAAGGAGGAGGAAAACCGACGGAGGTAGATGAGGAATGGGGGTTATGTTCTCCATGTAAAAGAATGATTCAAAACATCTATTGAATGAATAAAGTAGTTCAATATCATTGCGTCAAGCACCAGTCTACATATCAATTATATAATATTAAATAACACATTCACTTAAAATGTAATGTCATATGTTTCATTTAATTGAATTTTGATCACCTAAATTAGTGCTTTGAATATTAAAAAGACATCGAATATTTTAAACTTCTTAATTTCTTAATGTGTTTACATTTGTTTAAAAGTCAATTTGACCCTGGTTTAGTATCCATTATTTTTTTTAAAAAAAATCGTTATCTTATTTTTAAATATACACTCTTCAATAAAATAACACTACACACAAATTTAATTTTTTTAGAGGAAATTGCAGCCAGCCAGGCATTTAAAATACCATTTTTACAAATCAACTCACAAATTTAACATTTCAAAAATTAGGTTTTTTATATTTAATTTAATATTAATTATATAATTTTCATTCCAATTAAAATAACATGAATCAACCCTAGAAATCATTCCACACTGTCCTATCCTCTTCCCTCCGTCCCATTCTCTCTTCCCTGTTTCTCTCAGAAATCGCTGCCGCTGATGGTTCTTCCACCCGCCGACGAAATAAGGGATCTTGCCTATCTGCTCACGGTCACCGACGTTCTCTCTCCACTCTCATCTCCGCTTCCGTCTATCTACTCAAAAGCCGCCGCCACAACGATCTCTGACGATTCTTCCCCTCGCAACGAC